AACTAAAAAATATTTAAAATTTTGAACTCAAACATGGAAAGTTAAGACTGTGTTGCTTTGGTTTCGATATATAATGTGATGAGATGTCTGGTATTTAAGACATTACACTCTTTGGCCTGATGGGAAAGCTGTATTCAATAGTTAAAACTCTGACATAAAATTACTGCTGTGCAACCAGTTCTCATCTTGTTAATGATTGGACTGAGGGATTCCTGCATCGTACAAGGAGGGAGCCATGTACATGAAATATAAAGCAAGAGGTTTTCCTGTCAGTCCAACAATCTTTCTGCTTTACAGCATGTGTTTGTGGCTGCTATGCAAATACTTTTCATGAATGCTTAATCATCTATTTTGTCAAACACTGACTATACATTGAAAAGCACAGCCATTGTGTTTTTAAGTTGTTATCTGTTGTCCCCTAGCATTCTGCTCAGCTCCAACCTGCTCCATCCAGACCACTGCACTGCTTTCATTTCAACCCTCACTGCACTTTGGGTCAACCAGGCTACTGGCAGCCTTGGCAGGAGAGAGAGAGAGTGAGAGAGAGAGAAAGAGTGAAAGAGGAGGAGGGCGCGTGTGTGCCACCCAGTGTGGATGGATGAGGGTGGTGGTGGGGGACGTGGGTGTGTGTGGGGGGGGGGTTGCTTGTAAAACAGACTGCTGTGTCACACGGCTACATAGTCAGCATAGCTCCCTGTTTAGACAGCTCATCTCCCTCCTCCCACCTGTAGCTCTCCGCTCCACCGACATCAGCTGGAGCTGCTGAGTCAGAGCTGAATCTGTCTGAACTTCCTAAACTCACAGCCTCTGACGAGGAGGAGGAGGAGCTGCTGTAAAGGTGTTCAATCGTTTATTCTCTACATTAGTTATGAGATACATAATCACTGTAAACAAAAGCGACAGCCACAGCTGAGAGGACAGTACGCCTCTGCACTGCAGGTTATGTGACTGTTGGCTGGCAGTTGGATGTGGCGGGAAATCTCTTGGATTGTTTCACTTAGATGAGGTTAGTTTACGTCTTTTGAATACACATTGGCTGATATCAACAGCTGCCTTCATGTTTATTCTGGCACATCCAAGACAAATACAGTACTGCCAGGAACATGAGGTAGGGACGAGCTGTGATCCGGCTAATGACGGAGTTTGTAGCATACGTCTTCATTTTTAGAAACACTTCCACACCAAACACTTTTATGCTGAGTGTGTTTATATTTGAGTAAGTCTGACGACGTAGTGTAACCGGAAGAGTGCTGGTTAGTCATTTTTAACCAAACAGAGGCAAAAAACCCCCCATCCCCATTCTGAATACTGAGGCCTCAGTATTTCTTAAATCCTTGCTACAGCCAGGACACAAAAAATAATTATAGTGTACATAGTGATCTGTTCTTTAAGTGCATATTACACTTATTTATAGACACATTACACCTGTTTCCTGGTTTTAGGATAGCTAAATCATGAGTTCTGTTTTGCACAGATACTGTGTTTGTTTTTGTGTGACTCCAGTTTTAGCAGGGAAACATCCTTCATTTACAGATTAAGAGCCTATAGATACCGCTTGCTGTCACACCATCAACAGTTGCATTCGCTTTTAATGACACCCAGTCATGTTTCTATTTCATTACATCAAGTTACCAACCTACCCCTCATGTCTCTATGCAAACAGCGGCTCAACAACTCCCATTCTCTCTACATGGGACTCCAGAAATAAGATCTGAGTGTCTGTTATTTTTGCTGATTCAGCAAAAGTGGCCATAACGATAACTGCGCCTTGTTGTGGGCTGTTATTATACCTGATTAGTTGCAGGCTGCTTGCCGAAGCCAGGCTGAATGACACACAACCGACCTGGTTAAACCTGCAAACATACAGTATGTTTTTTTAAAATGGTTATTTAGGTTGGAGGGTTTAGCTGAGTAAGCATGCTCTTCTAAGCTTCATCTACACAACTTCCAATTATAATATTAGTTATAATATAACTATTATTGACATGATTTTAGTTGTTATTAGTGATAAAATAAAGGTCTTTGGCAATAAGAAAGCAAAGAAGTCCTCCTCTGTGGAGTCTAGAGTGGTGGTGGTGGAAATCTGAAGATGATCTGGTGATGTTTTACCAAGTGAGGAGCTGATAGATGTGATCTGCTGCAGGAACCCTGAGTGGCTCACTGAATCTGGAGCACATCTGAGGCTGCTCTGATGTGCGCTGAGGTGGAGGTGTGGCTGCTTAAAAAGCACTGAAATGACAAAAGAGAAGAGCCAAGAAAAGTCAAGATAGATAGCAGCAAGTTGGTTAACTGACAGAGATCATGGGGAAATCAAAGTGGTTGAAGTGAATAACGGGAAATATGCTGTTTCATCAAAGAAAAACAATATATACAGACCAACTTTTCAATATTTTAAAGCAAATAAGGAATATTTTCTTAAAATTCAGAAGATTGTGTAATATTGCCACAATCAGATCCAGTTTGAGCAGCGGCGCATTGGATTAAGTACCACAGCCTGCTATGTTTTGGGGAGTTGAACTAATTTCCTTAGTGATTTTCAACATCTGTTTGTGTCAGTTTTTTTTAAAGCTCACACCCACACAAAAATGTGTCTTTGCCCCTCAAAGAAGCAATAAACAACACCACACTTCATACTCATACTAAGGTTTCATTTACTGTATATGGGTTTTTTTTTTTTTTAAGTCAAACAGTTTTGAAAAGAAAGTAAAAGCCAATAGTGAATGTATTTTTGTCTGATTACAGTGTGTTATAACAGAATCAGTCCACGCTCAGTTCTGGTGGAATACTTCTCCAACATGCAAAACTAATTCTGTCTCAAACAAACCAAAGAAACTAAAACACATAAACATACACACATCTGCAGACAAATCCAAGAAACAGCCATCACCAGCATCAATTACAGGTGAATCGCTGGTTCAAAACATTCTCGATTTATTAAAAGCCACTGAGTGATGACGGTGATTGTGTATCAGGACATATTTTCTTTGACCGTAGGAGGAAGTTTTGGATATCAGGCTAAGAGGCCTCTCTCTGCAGGGAGGTCACAGGTTGACCTCTGCTGTCAGCCAGCAGGTGAGCATCCGCTTCAAACACAAGACCAGAGCTCCCTCTAGTGGATATGATGAGCAGAAACAAGAGCGAATGGAAGTGTGTTACTGCCTATGAATGCTAACAAGCATGCCTGTATTTTGTTATTATTTGTTTTGCAAGCGCTCTGATTTGTCATGGCAGAGAAAGAACAGGTGGAAAAAACATGGTTAATAATAATGGCTCTGATGCATTCAGAAGCGCCAGCCCATATAAGTGAGTCAGAATGCACCGTATCAGGGCCATAATTATTTTCTTGCTGTGACACCTCCAAATGTCTGCTATGAAAAAGGTCAATTGAGACTCACACGCTGGGCTTTATTGCCACTCTGTGCTCATTCTCAACAATGTACTGTACATCTAAATGCAGTATATCCAAGTGACAAATCAGAACAGTCCCACGGTTCACTCATGTTCTTGAAGTGGAGCTTTAACACTCAGTCAACAGCTGTTATATACGTATTGGACACAATAACATCAACACTAGAGCTGCAATGATTATTTGATCAACTGATTAGCTGATTGACAGAAAAACAAAAATAACAAATTTGATAATCAACTTATTGTTTAATTAAATTGATATTTTTTCAAGCAAAAATACCCAAAGATTTCTGCTTTTCTCTGTTTTATGTCACTGTAACTTTGAGTTTTGGACTGTTGATGGAACAAAACCAGACAACTAAAGACTGAGGAACATTTTATACACTAAACAATGAATCAATAATCGAAAAAAGAATCTGCAGCTTGATCAATAACCTTCATCAGCCTTCATCAGTACCTCATTTTATTGAGAGGTCTTGCTTTGCAGGGGTTTTTCTCACAAACGCTTAAGCACTTTTTCTGAAACACTGCTGCAGTTCTCATAGCATTAAGCATTGGGACTGACATAAATGAATCCTAAAGTAAATATATCTTCTCCAGCTGATTTGTATCCATCAAATGAAACCAATTTCTGATCATTTAAAGCATGTCAGAGTAACATTTATGTCAAATACAAAAACTAGCTGCCATAACATTGTACAGTAAAGACAAAAGTCTCAACAACAACAAATTCATTTCAGTTGTAGAAAGCTCCTGTCTGGCCACAGCACTTTATCAATCTGACATTTGCTCTTTTAATACACAGAAGTCTTTAGGCATGGTGCAGGTCTTCCCTACATGTCTCAACTGTGCTGTCCTCACAGGCAGCATGTAGGCCCTGTCCTCTCTCTGTCTGTCTGTTCGTCTGCGGGCATCTACACCAACACAGTCTAACTTCACATTTTCCCTCTTCACTGAGCAGCCTGTTGTTTTTTAGTTTCTGATGTCTCTGTAGTATGTAAAACAGTGTCAGCCTCTGCAGTGTTGATGTATTAGAGAAATGAAAGCATGTAACTGCACGTGTTGCAATACCTTTATGAAACTTACAATGCAGGTATCCTCCTCCTTTTGAAAATAAAAATCACCTCATGTGTAAATAGGGGGGTACCAACTTAAAGCTTATACATATATATATATATATATGTAGCTTATATATATATATATATATATATATGCTATATGATCATATTATATTTTTTTCACATGGATTATATCCTTTTTTAACTTCTACAATATTTTGCATTTTATGTCTTAGGTTGTCATTTTTTACTCATGTGACTTTCTTTTTATAGGCCTAAATATTATTTGACAATTGCTGAAAAGGGGCTGAGAATTATGCCAATACCTACTTCACTGTAATTGTTGTGCATTTGACAGTACAGAACTTCTTGTAAATCATCTTGTAAATAATTCTAATTCGCTCGACTTCGTATTTTTGATCCCGTGAACTTAGTGTTGTACACCCAGGCATGAGACTAGAGGGCACGAGCCAAGAGGTGACCAGAAGCTCCAGGCTGCAGCCACTTTCACTTTCATTTCCTCTAAAAGGGGCACCGCCTGTGTTTTTCACTTTACTCCCGTCCTACAGCTGCTGTTGCACATCACGTCTACGTGCTGAAGTTGTTATGGAGAAACAAACTGGAGAAAAAAACAGGTAAAATTTCACGAAGCGGAAAATTGAACAGGTGAAGTTTAGTAAAGTGTAGTTTTTACGAAGTATGACAGTTACAAACCTGTGCGGCGATGGTCTTTAGCTGAGTGATATTTCACAAGGCATCGGTTAACTACCATAGCTGCAGTCGCGTTTACAAAGAACTGGGTCAGTAAGATTGTACTTTTTAAAGCCTGCATTTAATGAAGTATCCTACGGAAGCCTAGAATGGCCGTACTTGCAATTATTAAGTTACCTCGACATAAAAAAGGTCGCGTGAGAACAGGTTAATTTATCTCGTTACCTCGAGAGAAAATAGGGCTTTCTCGAAATAACGTGATACTTTATCATATTTTCTCACCACCCAGTGGTGTTTATGGGTGTACATATGTTTCTGCTGTATTTTGCTTACTACCATTTTTTTTTTTTTTTTTAATCTATTGGGTTCTATTACAAACTCTTTCGTTTGGTAGTACCTTATAAACTCTTGGCCTTATTTGTCTTTGGCAAACTCTTTTATTTTTCTCAACAATGCTGCTATTTTTTAGGTCATATCCATAATATTTCAAATGCAAGATCTTCGACCAAGGAAATTCAAGTTAATTCCTGCTCATTTACTTTATCTATTTTCTTCCTGCAATGTATGTGATGGTTTTCCTCATCAGCTTCTTCAGCATTTTCGGACCCCAGCCTCCCACAACTGCAACTACTTCAGCCCAACCCACTATCAGCACAGCAGTGGACATCAAAGATGCTTTCAGCATGTTTACAACTTCAATCAGCTCAACAGACCAAAAAAACCCACTTGCTCTTAAGCTCCCAAGTAAGCTATAGTTCCACACCAAGACAACTGTCAAAGAACAGCTCTGACATGGAAAATGTGCTACAAAAGGTTGGAGGCATTGCCTTACTGTCATAGTTTGGATGTGTTGTTTGGATGCATGGTAAAACACAATAAATCCAGTTTGAAAATAGGATACACAACTGTGTTCCAGTTTCTCAAACAGCAAATGCATGCTTCAAAACCCTTTACACAATTAACAAGATAACATGACTGTGTCTTAATAGAACAGACAGAAATAGAGAAAATTGACATGACACACTACACCAAAATAACACAGTACATCATATTGACCTCTGATATTCTCAGAGTATTTTCCCAACTTAAATTTGCAAACATTTCACAGCTGCATTTCCTACTCTCTCTATTAATTTTGACATACAGTGAGTAACCAACCTGGTGTGTCACTTTACATGTAGCATCATACAAGGGGGAGTCAAAAGTTTAGAACCTTTGCAAATGGTAAATTTCTAAACACTTTAAGGCTGTTTATGGATACCCTACATGTTACGAAATAATTTTCTTTACTTGCATGATGCCTGTTTTCTGACGGTCTGTGGGGTCTGACCAAACCTGTCACAGGGCTCTGTCCAAGAGACTTGCAGAATGTTTTTGTGCGAATAAACTCCAGTGTAGTTTCTGGATATCTGGACATCTGACATCACTGCGTTTTTGCCACTAATCCGAAGACTTTGGAATATACTTTGATAACAAACAGATGCAAAAATGCAAGGCACGTTATAATAGCCAGCTTTTCATGCATTTAGCTTTTTTGAGAGGAGGTGAAACAAAGCAAACAGTGGATACTTCATTAAACCTCATCAACTCTTAACATCTCTTCAGCAGTAAAACATCAGACCAAACAAAAACGGAGAGATGTGGATTCGACAGAAACGTGAGTAAAGCTGTGACATTGAATGAAACAACCTCCACTCCTGTTTATGGACATGAATAATGGTCGTGTTTTATTTCTGTTGGGTTCTGTATACTATATACAGAAAACTTATATACTACTTCTATAATATTTGAAGTGCAAGATCTTTAACTAAAGACATTTAAGTAAATTTCCGCTCCTTTGCTTTATCTATTGTCTTCCTCTGATGTCTGTGATTGTTTTTCCTCATCAGCTCCAGCGGCTTTAGATTTGAAACTGCAGCCCAACCTGATACTGCCACAGCACTGGGCGCCAGTGATGCTCTCGGCAAAGTCAGTTCAACAGAGCAAAGGGCGGCACAACCTTTTACTTTCACAGGTAAGCTACTAAACAGTTCCACACCAAGACAACTGTCAAAGAAATTGTAGCTTCTGGAAATGGACGTGATCACTGTAAATTTTGCCACTTATCTATGGAATCAGAGTACATACATTTACATTTTAACAGCCAGATTTAATATGATACATTTCATGTCAAAGGAGGTACAACATTGCAAATGCTGAATGTTTCATTAAATCTCATCAATTCTTAAACTCTCTTCAGCAGTTCAACGCATGTTGGACTCTCAGTGGAGAGATGTGGAGTGGACAGACGAGTGAGTAAAGCTGTAACAATTAAGTCAAGTTTGCAACTATATTAAGTAGTAGCAGTCACATCAATAGATTTGTGGTAATTTTAAAGAGAAAAGACAACATATTTTAAACATTATCAACAACAAGTGAACATCTTAAATTCCAACCTAGGCAAAAGACGAGCCTGATAAAGTCTGTCAGCTCCTACAGACCGAGCTGTGAGGTTGTGACTCAGGCCAGGGTTCTCCTCCTGGGCCCGGTCAGCTCTGGAAAGTCCAGCTTCATCAGTTCAGTCCAGTCAGTGTTTAATGGAAATGTCACCAACCGGGCCATGGTGGGCTCCTCCACAACCAGCTTCACCAAGAAGGTACGTAAGTGGAGCAGGAGCATTCGCATCACATTACCTGAGAGACATTACTAAAGCTATGGATCCTTTTTTTTTTAGCTGAAATGTATTGTTGTGTTTCTAAAAAAAAAAAAATGGTGATACTGAAAAGAGCGTGGCCTCACAAAGCCCCTGCTTGCTTAAGGAGAGTATTTGAACAATTCGTGCAAGGAAGGAAAAACGCCCACACTCTGCTTTCTCTTTCCTTTCCTTTGTCAGTCATTTCCATGTAAAATAAAAGACAAATTGTGAACAAAGACAAAGCAGTATGCAGGTATATATTTTCATTTATTGGTGAGCAAAATAGTGCCCAAAGCCTGCAGATGTGTCTCTACTCCTTGGACACAATTATCTTCAAGACTAGTTTCATGTTTATTTGTAGAAGAGATCCACTTGTTAATTTTTCTGAAGCTTCTCATGATCTTTGTCAACAAATTGAGTTTTCCCCAGTTGTCTTAAAGGTGGCTGTGACAACTCCACATGTTTAAGATATGTTTTCAGATATATTCACGTCAAGACATGTACACAAAAAGCTACATAAAAGTAGTATTGAAAAGCCAGAGTTTGTTCTTAAGGAGGCAGTGCTGGTACAAACCTCTAATCAGCAGGCAAGTTGTTCCAATGCTTTCAGAGGCATCCATTACATTAACTTTCTTTTTGTTCGTGTCAGCTGCAGTCCTTCAACATCCGTGGTCAGAAGGGAGAAGATCCTACCAGACTGACGCTGTGCGATGTCATGGGTCTGGGGGATGGAGAGATGACCGGACTGACCCTCCATGACATCCTGTCCGTCATTAAAGGCCATGTACCTGAGGGACACAAGGTACAGCAAGGATTGTTAAATGGTTATTTTTTTTGTAACATTGTGTCTGCTCATCTTCATAATTCAGAGTCTTGGTTCAAACAACACGAACTGTTACACCACTCTCTTTATTTGTCTCCCCCAGTTCAGCCCAGATCAGCCTGTGAGATCAGAGACTGTGGGCTATGTGAAGAGGCCAACCCTTAAAGACAGGATCCATTGTGTGGCCTTTGTGGTGGACGCCTCTAAAATCCTGACCTACTCCAAAGGCCTCAGGACCACCTTCCAGCAGCTCCGAGAGCACATCAGTGATCTGGGTGAGCAAAAGACAAACAAGCCAACCAACACAAAATTTTCAGACACAGTGACGTTGAACGGAACAGTTGTCATTCATTCTTGCAGTGAATTGCATTAAGATTTCACTGACAACTGTTCCTGTTGGATTTTGCTGTGGTTAGAACTGCAAAGATCAACTGAACTGAAAGCACTGCTGAAACTGTCAGTAAATTTATTTCTCTGGAATGTAACAATTAAATGCTGCGTCTCTGATAATTGCAGTGAAACCTTAACGACTGTAGTGTATTCTGTCTGTCAGGTGTTCACCAGGTGGCTCTGCTGACCCACGTGGACCAGATTTGTCCAGAAACAGCCAAAGATGTCACTCAGGTTTACAAGAGCTGGATAATTCAGGAGACGGTAGGTTGAAATAAACCGTATGAAGTTTGAAAAATGTTCATGTACTGTAATTGTCCAATTCAGACTCAGAGGCATTTCCTCTAACTTTTCATTATTGTATTGCGTGATAGAGACTCTAACATGCCATATAAACATGCCAATGAGGACACAATGCTTACTTTTCTTAGCACTTAAAATATTACACATTCAGCAATGTAGCATACATGGATAAATAAGTGATGAATGAAAATGTTATGGTTATCTCATAGTGTTTGTGTGTGTGTGTGTGTGTGTTTGTAGATGGATAGAGCTGGAGCTCTGTTGGGTATGTCCACCTCCTACATCGTCCCTGTGAAGAACTACTCCTCAGAGCTGGACCTGGACGTGAACACCGATGTGCTACTTCTTAGTGCTGTCGACCACATCCTGCAGTATGCTGATCTGTATTACCAGGACAATACACCACAGTGTACAGGGTCAATGACATACAAAGACATTGACATCTGAGCTTATTATACCTTTCAGTTAATATTAAGAAATTGGTCATTGGTCAACATGTTCATAACGTATTAATACGTTTATTATATTATACGTTTAACATATCATTCAAATGTGAACACCACATGTTTCTTGTTTATATTGTAGATTTGTTGTCTTTAATGGACAAATGTTTCTATCCATCCCTGTTTTATATACCGTATATATGTATATATATTGACATTATGAGATGCTAATTTCTATTTCTCATGTTTTTTTGTTGTTTTTACAAAATTGTAACAGACAAAATTGTATAATTCAGAATAAAAACAGGCGTGTGTAATATTATATTGATGAATATTATATTGTATGAAGGGCACTGGGCTTCATGCATCAACCATTCATAAAAACATAATTGTTCTTGAGTGTGGTAACTGCAGTTACCAATTTTATTGTTTGTAATATTTTCTCGTACAGTTGGTAGAAAGGAAATTTAATAGTGGTCCAGACCTGTCATACTTCTCATGAACAGAGCCTAATTCCTTCAGTCAGAGTCAGAATACCTTTCAATTGAATACATGACTGTCACATCTCTTGACCGTCTCCTATCTAATTCATTGGCCACTTACACATTATAGCATTTACTGTAACTTCTTTTCAAACTTGTCACAACACTGCTCTGTTGACATAATGTTGGCAACTGACACTGCTAGGCCTACATGTCATTTGTTGATTTTCGTCTCGAAACTGCGCACTATAAAGTTTTAGTTTTGTGAAGAAACTTGCCCACAGGGAGCTGAACATGGTGCCGAATCCAAATGTGACTACTGGTAAGAATTATGAGCCTCACAGAAAAAAAAAAGAGAGAAAGTGGAATTTGGAGGATCTAAATTTAGCACACATAAAACAGGAGAGGTTTCACATTGTTTTTCATAAACAGCAACACATTTCTTTTTTTCAGACACAAACCAGCTTTATTTTGAAGGAATAATCATTCTAGTCTGCAGACTTCCAGTTTCATTTCTGCCAGATCCAGACCATGAGCAGTTTGGTACAAACCTTGAACAAACACCTGTCTAACTAATCGTTGGTCACCTTCCTTTAATCTTGTAGAGAGAGAAGAAGTAAGAACATTGACTGTAAATAAGGGTAAGAATAGAAAAGTTATAGCCAGTGGGATTTTGAATGTTTTCTCTATTTTTGCGACTGAATGTATATATGTTTCGAGTTAATCTCTGTGTAATTCACCCTGATTTTAACCTGGACTAAGAATACGAAACCGAAAAAATCTGTCAATTCACTGACTTAATCCGGTATGTAATTGATTACAGATTAAATTGATTCTAAAAGAAATTGGCAGCCAGTGCAAAGATGTTAAAACTGGGTTTATGTGGGAAAATTAGGTCATATAAGTATTCTGGCTGTATAGTCAGCAATAATGTAGGTGTGGAAAACACTCCTTCATTTCTTTATCAGTGAGAGAGGACTGGAGATATCGTTCTGCCTCAAACTGTGGCAAAACTTTCTCACACAATCAAGTGTTTGATACAAAATGTTAATTTTAGCATGTTTCAACAAATGGCAAGATGAGAATTAGAGGAGGGACCTGAAGTAAATTACTAAAGAAGAATTTTATTTTATGCATTGCGTCATTCAAATTTAGACACAAGCAAAGAATGTCAAGTATTTTAGAAAGAACAATTAAGTATTAATATATCACTTGTGTGATAGAATACTACACATGGGGACTTTAATCTTTGATACTCTTGAAATGTCAAGATGACAGCAGCTAGTGGGCTAATTGATGTCTGCATGTTTTTGACACAATTGCAACAGTCACAACGTTCATATAGGATTATGAAGTAATTTCATGTTTCGTCTGACCCATCCAGCTCCAGTCCAGAGATATGTGAAGAGGATTATTAACTCGGATTTTATTTATTTATTTACTGGAATTAATTTTTTCTAAGTTTTATTATTGGTTTGATTGGTATTCATTTCTTATGACAACTAACAACTAACAATCTTTTCACTAGATGAAACAATTCTTTATCTTTTCTTGTTTCTACAGGAAGAGGAAGGAGCTGATCGACAGTATTAAGATCTACAAACCCACAGTCAGCTCTGTGTCCCAGGTTCGGGTTTTGCTCATTGGAGCAGTTGGAGCTGGAAAGTCCAGCTTCTTCAATTCTATCAACTCTGTATTCAGAGGCCACGTCACCAGCCAGGCCATCGCTGGCTGCTCTACCACCAGCCTCACCACACAGGTTAGTTTCTGCCTCTGATGTTACATATGTGGCGATTGATTTCAAAATGAAAATCCTGCTTCATCCGCATTTTGTGTTTTATTGCTCCATCACTTTGTACCCAACAGTTTCGCAGCTACTCTTTGAAAGCTGGGCGTGAAGGAAAACCTCTGTTACATATTTAAAACTTGAATATGAAGCTGTGCTGAGGAGAGGAAGTAACAAAATTAATTGATGAAAATGGAGGAAAATGCATGTGAATTGAACAATTGAGTGTTTTGATTATTTTAAAGCCGCTTTGATTGAAACAGCCTTCATATGATGAAAAGTCAAACATGGGCTTGTTTGAAGGATGTTTAGTTTTAAATTAAATTATCACTTAAATCCATGTTTCATAACTTCAAAATACAGCTCTAAAAATAATAATTTATTTCTTAATGTTCATCATGTAAAAAGAATTAAACTTCAGTTTGATGATATTTCATTAAAATTGGTTAATATTATTTGTAAATCTGTTTCAACATTGAGCCCAGTTTTTGAGAGACCACCTTCACTTTATTATGTAGATGACATATTGATGGATATCAGCAACCCAGTTTTTTTGTATGTAAAAGAATATGGAGAACTTAAAGGTTATCATATTAACCAATCAAAGTCTGAAGCAATAATGTTGATGGGGCATTGGCTAGCACAACTAGCAGGAAAATTCAACCAACCAGGGGTTCAGAGGAACTATCATAATTTCTGACACATCACAGGTGGAAAACTGATGGGTAAAAACTGACCTTACAAGATGGGAAGTCTTCCCCTTATCCCTAATAGGGTGAGTGGAAACAATACAAATGTTATATAAATATTACAGAAAAATAGAATACAACAATCAGGCATTGTTACTTAGAGTCTGTCTTCTAATTGCCAAGAAGATAATCACAGTCTGCTGGCTGAGGCCACAGCCGCCCTCTGGTAGCACAATGGAGGGAGATGGTGAAGGATGTTTACTACATGGAAAACATATTCTTGATTAAATGGTTCCCAATTATTCTCATGTGGAATTTTTTTCCCCTTTTAAATGTGAACATACGTTTCTCTTTTATAATGTAGATTTGTCCATTTTCTCTGTGTTCACGCACAAATGTCACTAGTCATCCCTTTGGTTGGAGAATGAAACTATACATAGACACTATCAGGACGCCAAAACCCATGGACTGCCCCCTAAGCTATTTACACCTGTATTTACCTCTGAACAAGTGACTGTACTGATTTTTTTTTTTTTTTACAAAATTAGACAACATAAGTTGTTTCTTTGTGTGAATGGCCTCATGGAACAACAATTCATAAAAACAGAGTTGTAGAGTGTGAAATAAACTTGTCCACAGGGGGGTGAACGGTCCAGATGGGGCTGAGAACACTCCTACGAATTATGAGCCTCACAGAACCCTGCTTTGTTTTCAGGCTATAATTATTCTAGTCTGCAGACTTTCAGTTTCATTTCTGCCACATCCGGACCATCAGTGGGTACACACCCTGTGAAAACATCTGCCTACAGTTACTAAACTATCGTGAAGAAGAGAATCTAAAAGAGAGAGAAGCAGGTAAGATGGAAAATATTGAAGGGTGGCATATTTCTTTAATGTAAAATTATACTCAGTGGGATTTTTTAATGTTTTCTTTACTTTTGTGTATGAAAGTGTGGCACGGTGTGGTTCAAGTTAACCTATACTTTTTAACTTGACTGAGGGAGAATTACAAAGATTAAACCAACAACTCAGTTCACTGATTTAATCCAGTATGTAATTGATCAGAGTTTAAAATGATTTTAAAAGACATTGACAACCAATGCAAAGATGTTAAAACTGGATTGTTGTGGGGGAAAAAAAGGTCTGCAGTCGGTAAATTTGTTTTCTTTGTCAGTGTGAGAGGTCTGGAGTTATTGTTCAGCCTCAAATCTTTCTCACACAATCCAGTGTTTAAAAGCAATTGTTTATTCAATCATGTTTCAAGAATTGCAGAGAAAAAAAATAAAAGAAATAGACGAGATACTTTAAGTAAATTACAAGAGCACCATTATTTAATGCATTTTGTTACACAAGATTGGACATTTTACACTTGTAAAGAATATCACTTATTTTAAATAGGAAATCAAATGAACTTTTTTGATTTCAAAATCTTCAAGTATAAACCTTTAAGGCACATTTCAATGATTAAACAAAATGTATCTGTGTTGACACAGTACTGAGACAAAAAAAGAAAAGAAAAAAGAAACAAAACAAAAGCAAATAATTGAAAAAGAAGTGTGAGGGTGTTATTCAAGTAACATAAGCAAATCCAATGAATAAAAACATTTTTGGATGTTTCTGTGCATTATCCATTGAATTCACTCCTCCATCTGTTGATATGGCACTTGACCTTTAAATATTTACATCTATGGATAACATGCTTACCTAAGATGATCAAATTGTTTATCAGAAAATCCTAATTCTGCTCCTTCAATAGTACTCCACCCTTAACCAACATCATATTTAGTGGGTGCAGCAATATCTCTTTAAATTGCAGCCAGCTTTGAAATGAGAATTATTAAACAGGGTCACACTAGAAATCCATGTGTGTTGTTGTTTCAATCAAATGGTTTTAGAAAAGATTGGATAGGATAGCCCTGAGGTTTGAAGAGTGAAGGTGTGGTGATGATGAAATAGGACAGGAATGGAGGATAGAGGGCTTATGCCGTGGTGTAGGGTGTGGCATGGAAGAGCTGATCCAGGAACTTGTGTTTGAACTGGGGTCTGAATTAAGATGAATGGAGAGTGGTGGATGAAGCAGGCAGCTGGGCAGGTGAACAAGTTTTTTGGTCTGGCTCTGGAGTCCTGAGGGACACAGAAGAATCAGGCATTTCATGTTGAGCCTGATTTTCCACTTTGATTGCTGGTGGTCAAAGTTGTCATTGGCGAATGCAAGCTGGCTAGTGTTATGTGATGGCTCATTTCGAAAAACAGAGGGTTGCCATCTTGAAATGAAAGGATTGCTAGGTCTTACTTGAAAGCTGTCATTTACAGAGGGCTGACATGTTGAGGGGCTAGCATTAATGGCTGCTCGAGCTGGGGAGTCAGTAAGTGGATGGTTTTTACCTTAGTGTGGGTCGAAATGAGACTCAACATATTCACTCCTAAATAAATAATAAAACGTTTTTAATTACAAAAGAAATAAAGACTTCTTCATTTAAATAATGTTCTTAACATTAATTCAAGTACACAGGTTGTACAGTGTAGAAAACATGTAGATACATTCAGCTGGCTTCCTCAAATGAATAACAGGAAGTAGCCTTTGCAAACTAGGAAGAACTTAAGCATGCAAACACTTATCAAAAGTCTATCCAATATTATGCCTAAAAGGCAACACAAGGTGAATGAACAGAGTTTATCCAAACTAGATTTCTAGATATCCTACATTTTAATGCATTTGTGTTTCTCTTTCTACTTAGACACCAAAGTGAGCAAACATCAAAGTTTCATTGAGCATCCTCTACACACATCAGCAGACCAACTGTCGACCATGAACTCAATGCTAACCAGAAACCAGCAGAGAACAATCTGCTCCCAGCTGGGAAGAGTCAAACTACAGCTGCTGTACAAAGCCAGCATCCATGGTTTCACTGGTGCAGCCTTCCACCAACGATGTGACAACCACAGTCCCACAGTGTCTGTGGGCTTTAACGCCTCAGGTTATGTGTTTGGAGGATACACCACACAACCTTTCAGTCAGTCTGGTCAGTATGTGTGGGATGACCAGGCCTTTCTTTTCACCTTCAGTGGAGAAAAGCTGCTCAAATATCCAGTCACAGGCCCTGCTAATGCAGTGAGAATGATAGCTAACTCTGGTCCATATTTTGGAGAAGCAATGGTTCTTGTCAATGGAAGCCAAGCAGTAGTGCATAGCAATCCAGGAAACCACTACACCTTCAATGCTGCAGAAATGCATGGCAACGACCTCAACCTGACTGAGTGTGAGGTCTATGAAGTGGAAGGTGAGTTCTCTATAAACTACCAAATATTCATGCTTTATTGTGGTAGTGGTTAGTGCTATATTTCTGCTGTAGTTCACCTCCAATATTTTTGCTTCAAACTATGCAAACTAGATTTAATACATTGTGGACTGACATGCATTGAGTCAGATGTTTGACTGCTTTTCAATTTAAATTTCTTAATAAAAAAACTTCTAAAAACTTCTAATGTGAAGAAAATGCAGATTACCTTCCCTTTAACAAAAAGAAAAAATACATATCCCTTTTCCTTTTCATGACCTCTATGCCAATCATTTTTGTACAGTCCCTTAATGTGATATGGGATGGATGACAGAAATGGGAAAGAGTCCCGTGTTAACAGCTTGCAATTGTTCACACAAGACAGTTGCATGAATACAGAGCTGGTCATGTGAGAATTACAATACAGTGCATTGACAATATAACACAATATCCTTTAAATTGGACCACTTCCATGGCACTTTGGAGCTCACATATTATTAAGTGCCAAGTTGGATATACTGAAACTTTTTACAACTAATTACAACTTGGACATTGACATGAGTACTGTTCACAATTGGGGAAACTAATTTTCGATATGACATGAATGCTGCATTAGGCCTCCCAGCACTATGTAGGCTTAGAGGTCATCTGGGATCTTAATACAGTATTTCATCTGCATAAATCAATCCACACCACAGGTAATAAAAAGGATTATTATCAAATCATGAATTATGGCATCTGATATTAATGATACTATGTTTTGTCATGTACAAGTGTCATGTACAATCATCACAAATAAAAACAAGTTGTTTCTTATCAAATCCAAAAATTAAAAGTTGTTTTTGCTCTACAACAGAAACCACAGAACTTGAGAGGCCATGGAGGACTATAATCTGGGAATCTGAGTAAGAGCTACCATCCTACACATAATACTATTAACATGCTTTACATCATACTATATACATTATGACACAAACTGATGATCAGGAAAATCAGTACAGCGTTAACAGTGTAATTAAAAGTGTTGATCATTTGGATGTAATTATGAATGTGTTCCACATGCCGTGACATGCAGCACTTCTATGCTTTACTAGGCATATTATACCAGCATTTTACATTATGATGGACTCAGTGTCTCTGCAAAATATTATGTAATGAAATTGTTTGCCATGCTTACTGTGCTATACTGTTTTTAACTGTAAAATTCTCAACAAATTGTCATAAACGTATCCACAACCATGAGTGCTACCATCATGGAGGTCAACTGGCTGTGCACAAACATCTCTGGAACCACGGGGCTGAAAACAACTAACAATCTTTTCACTAGATGAAAAAGTTCTTTATCTTTTCTTGTTTCTACAGGAAGAGGAAGGAGCTGATCGACAGTATTAAGATCTACAAACCCACAGTCAGCTCTGTGTCCCAGATACGGGTTTTGCTCATTGGAGCAGTTGGAGCTGGAAAGTCCAGCTTCTTCAATTCTATCAACTCTGTATTCAGAGGCCACGTCACCAGCCAGGCCATCGCTGGCTGCTCTACCACCAGCCTCACCACACAGGTTAGTTTCTGCCTTTAATGATTTTACATATGTGGTGATTGATTTGCCCTGTCTGCAGTTTGTGACTTGTTGCTCCATCACTTTGTACCCAACAGTTTCGCAGCTACTCTTTGAAAGCTGGCCGTGAAGGAAAACCTCTGCCAATCGTCTTGTGCGATACCATGGGATTGGAGGAAAGCACAGGGGCGGGGCTTGATATAGATGACATCAGCAGCATCCTGAAGGGTCATCTGCCAGACCGTTACCAGGTACAGTTTTTTGTTACATCAAGCAGGACATTGAATGTATGAGCCATTGATTTGGCTGATAACTCAAACTGCCGCTGTCTTTCCTTTCAACTGTGTGACACAGTTCAATCCCTCTGCTCCTCTGCATTTCGAGGCCCTCGGCTATCATAAGTCTCCAGGGCTCAAGGATAGGATCCACTGTGTGGCTTATGTCATTGATGCCTGTAAGATCTCCATCATGCCAACAAAGCTGGAGGAAAAGCTGGATGCTATCCGCAGAAAGGTCAACTTAATGGGTCAGTAAAAATGAGTCCAATGTCATAATAATGAATGGATGTATACAGTCTTAATATCAGTATGAGTCAGTCAGTCAGTATGTGCTCTCTCAATCTCAGCATAGCAAAATAAAAATAGAACAACAAGTCAATACCTAGTTTTGGGTTGTTACAGTATCTTCAGAGGATTGTGTCCGGATGGAGCTTGGGGTGGGGCAGAAGCTACACGTGTCACTCCAACCACCACAGAACAAAAGCTCAAAGTATCGTACAGCAAGAAAGCTCTAAATGTTCTGAGATTCTGGCTATGAATAAATGAAGGGATCTTGTAGAAGACTGGAGTAGCTGATTCCCTTTGCACTGAAAGGAGTTAGTTCAGGGGCACTTCTACCTCAAGTTATTATCTGCAACATTAGTTTAACTTTTCACAACATAAAAGATTCCACATCACAGCTGGTGTCTGACTCTGTCTAATGGAGATGTGGGTGAAGTTATTATTGTCACTCCCCAGTCTGTGTTGTTCTAGGGGAGTAACAGAACCTAGGCACAATATATTCACTCTGTACATTCAAATAATAATATGATCTGGTCCTAAAAAAGAAATGTGCAAACACCAAAATTGGACCGTTTTTTGATTTTGGTTTGAATTCTTGTTTTCTCGTCTCACTACAGCAACTTTGAAATGTTCTTTCTGCTCTGGTGTTTCCAGGGATCCCTCAGCTGGTCCTGCTCACTAAAGTAGATGAAGCCTGCCCTTTGGTGTCAACGGATGTGAGAAATGTTTACAAGAGTGGCTACATTAAGGAAGTGGTGAGGATTTTAGATATATTTTCCTTAGTTTAGGTTATCTAATTCTGTTGTCTTCCTCTGTAAAGATGCATATTCAACTATCTACGTGACTGGTGTAGGGTTCATCAACTCTTTTGGTTGATGGGGAGTTTCTTGGCAAATCCTTCTCACCATTGTGCCACATGAGAAACTTTAAGACCTGAGGTTATACAGCTAGTTAGAGAATAATCATGAACAATAAACATTTGTAGCTTTCACAGCTCTCATCATCATGAACAACCTAGAGTGTATAAATTCCTCTAACAGAACTGAAGAAGCAGGTTGTCAAACCAATATTCAATATTTATTTATCATGTGACTTTTGGTTAAAAGTTTTATTTGGCTTGCAATGGGTAGCCATAATCAAAACAAACTAATATACCTGTCCAACACCCCCACTGTCGAAAAGATACTTACAAACAAAATGAAGCTGTGATTGCACAAAAGTTGGCACAGTTCTCTGTGGTCTCAACTACCCTCACCTGAATGTTTTTGTGATCCAGATGCAGGAGGTCAGTGCTCGGCTCGGAGTGCCAATGTCTTGTGTTGTTCCTGTGAAGAACTACAGCGAGGACTTGGAGTTGGACCCGAACTGCGACATCCTGCTGCTCAGTGCCGTCATCCAAATGCTTCGCTTCGCAGATAATTACTTCGATGAGATCAATGACCAGTTCAGCAAAGTTGAATGTAAATAATAAGAAGTATTTGTACAGTGGATATAATAACCTGAGGAACATAATAAAATGTCCCTCACAGTGATCTATCCATTTACCAGCAGATGACCCATATTTGTTGTATGTTTCTCAAGCAAAGCGAAGCTGACCTCAAGTCAAAAGCCTGTAGACCGATCTATTGCTGGACCAAAATGTACCAGGTCTATACTGGTACATACTGCCTCCAGGAAATAGCTGCATGCTTGCTCTCTCAAGTCAGACACTGACTAATGCTCTCGCCTTCTCTCTGCGCTTGAGGCCTGAAAGATGCGCAACATTTACAAATACGTTACATTATTAAGTCAGTCCAGACCCTGTTCTTTTCTTTTTTTCCTTTTTTTTTAAAATCAAACTTTGTAATATGTCTTTTTCTCTACAGTATTTGATGTATTTTTCCTATCAGGAAACAACTTCCCATGTTTGTACCGGCAGATATAATCACATCTATTATTGTGTTGCATGTTGTGTTACCATGGAGAATTCTTTGAAACCTAAAACATTTGAAATGTGTATGTTTAAAAGAGAATATAAAATCTGAACTCCTGTTTAAATGTATTGTTCCTGAGAATGAATAATTCCACTCAGTTTTAGTTCAGTCAAAGATCGCATGTTTAACTGGTTGGACTTTGTAACTGTCACATGTGGCCAGTGATGCACCATGGTCTTTATCTCTCATGTCTGGCTGACTGAAAAACGAAAGTGAAGAACGACACTATCAAGGCAACTGAAATATATCGTTAACTTCCAGTAATCCTTCAAAATAAAATGCCTAGCCCTTCCAGTGAAGAGTTAAAATAAAGAAAACATTTAAGAAGGGACAAGATTAAGTCGATTAAATACACAGTAAGGTCATAAGTTGTAGTAAGAAAAGTACATTACAGAAATACCTCAGTGTGTTGATTTGGCATACAGCCTGACTAGGGATACGTTTTTTTAACTGTGGAAACCTGTTAGATTAAACTTTTTCCTCAAAAAATCAAACTAAAGGATAGTATTCTCAAAGAGTTACCCTGGGCTGTACTCATAACGATGCTGTTAGTAGGTACTGTCTGAATGACTGCAGAAAAGGGGCAGGCCCAGGTATCATCTCCTGGTACTTTGACCCTTGATGAAGATCTGTCAGAGGACAAAATCAGTCATTTCAATCAATGGTTTTATGAACCAGATGGTGACGAATAAAGGCCCCTTTTTTTTAAATCACACTCCATATAACTCCTGCTCCTATGGCTGACTGTGAATGATTAAACAAATCAGTCTGATCAGCAACAATAGCAATTTACTTAGAAACATTTTGTTAGAGGACGCTAAGATGAAATGAAAACCTTAAGTTTTATTTTTGTTTTCTTTTGTAAGATTCTTGTCATATTAATCCTCCTTTCCATGCTTACAAATGTCACTTCTTCAGATTTGATTTTGACTCATTTATTTTGAAGGCAACATCCTTGTTAGACTTGTATGCTAAACCAGAGTCTGCTGCATCAACTGAGAACAACCAACACCCACTGCTTATCTTCATCCACCTGGAAAGTGATTCAGTTTCTTTTTCCAGCACTTGTTCAACTGAGCAGGTAAGACTCAAATAGTTACATATTTAAAACTTGAATATGAAGCTGTGCTGAGGAGAGGAAGTAACAAAATTAATTGATGAAAATGGAGGAAAATGCATGTGAATTGAACAATTGAGTGTTTTGATTATTTTAAAGCCGATTTGATTGTAACAGCCTTCATATGATGAAAACGTCATTATATTTAGATATTTTTTTCAGCCGAGAAAGCTTTAATCTAAATAAAGATTGTTTGGAAATTTTTTCTGGCGTTTTCGGAGATGTGAGGAGGACCCACCACCCGCTTGGGGTGAGGTCATCTCATCAGATCGCAGCTCGCGATTTTTAATATACGTTACAGATTGGATACCTAATTCTGTCGATTCCATTTTCCTGGGAAAACTCTGTGTTTTTGGAGATTTGAGTTGAGATTTTGACTGACATTTTTGAAAGGAGGTGATACACTGTACATACTGAAGACTTTACTTACTGATGTGCAGTACTAGTCAAAAGTTTGGACACACTTTTCCACAAAATAGAATTACTGTGTCATGGTTGTATGCCTCTGCCAACCAGCAGGATATATGGTCACAATCTCTCCTTTGCTGAGTTACAGTGTTGAATAATGGCCTGAAGTATTTTTGCAGAACATTATGATGTCACAGTGAAGTTGACCTGACCATCATCACTTCATCATTTTATCCAATTATTTTTACATTTGTGTTAAATTATGTCATAATTAATGTACGGATTTGTGGGTTATGGTCAAAAATATGTTTTAGGAGGTCACAGTGACCTTGACCTTACACCACCAAATTGTAATCAGTTCATCCCTGAGTCCAAATGAAAGGTTGTGCCAGATGTAATGAAATTCCCTCTGGGTGTTCCTAATTCATCACATTCACAAGAACATGAGGTGACTGTGACCTCGAACTTTTACCTTTGATCATCAAACTCTAATCAATTCATCCTTGAGTCCAAGTCAATGTTTGCACTGAATTCCCCCGAGGTGTTAGTGAGATCTGGTGTTCACGAGAATGGGATAGACAACCTGAAAAAACAATAGGCATAACAAAACAGGGAAGAGTAATGCTTTAACTTTCTGTTATGTTTGCATGATTTGACAGAAAGATTTGAATCAGAAAAGTGCTTTGTTATCTAACTGATCTGAAGTTAAAGACTACCTAAAACCCACAACAGCATTTATCCTTAATGCAACTGCTTTTGTTTTGTATCTAGACAGCACACTAAATGAATTTTAAAGGCTCCAGACGCTCAGGAACTTCAGAACAACCATCTAGGATGAACCCCAGGCTAACTAGCAGACAGCAGGGAGCAATCTGCTCCCAGCTGGGAAGAGTCAAACTACAGCTGCTGTACAAAGCCAGCATCCATGGTTTCACTGGTGCAGCCTTCCACCAACGATGTGACAACCACAGTCCCACAGTGTCTGTGGGCTTTAACGCCTCAGGTTATGTGTTTGGAGGATACACCACACAACCTTTCAGTCAGTCTGGTCAGTATGTGTGGGATGACCAGGCCTTTCTTTTCACCTTCAGTGGAGAAAAGCTGCTCAAATATCCAGTCACAGGCCCTGCTAATGCAGTGAGAATGATAGCTAACTCTGGTCCATATTTTGGAGAAACATTGGTTCTTGTCAATGGAAGCCAAGCAGTAGTGTATAGCAATCCAGGAAACTACTACACCTTCAATGCTGCAGAAATGCATGGCAACAACCTCAACATGACTGAGTGTGAAGTCTATGAAGTGGAAGGTGAGTTCTCTATAAACTACCAAATATTCATGCTTAGCATCTTTCAAACAGATTTTATCTTAGACCAGGCACAATGCAAGTCTGCATTAGGATTGTTATTGTCAAAGTCCACAGGCAAGAGTACTAAACCTATTAAGAAGAGCATGAAATACAGTTTTCATTAATTATAAATTATAGACTTTTCAACCTGGATTGTTATATTGTACATAATTGAAGTTCATTTTGTGAAGTGACCAATAATGCATTTTGTTCAAGTTCTGCCAGGACAAACACAATTAACACCATCCATTTGGTCACCAATAACCTAACCTGAGTAGAACTGGATGTCGAGATTTGTATGGGGACACAGGACATGTGATCTGAACAGGCTCTAGTTATATACTGTAGCAGATGGCTCTAGTTTTCTTTTTACCACTGGCTGACAAATAATAACTAGTAATGTATAAATGATGAACCACAAGTGTCTGAAATCAACAAGGCAGTGGTTTCAGCTAACTGCAGCCATTGAATGAATTCTGACATCAAACTTGGGCTTGTATGAGGTGTTAGTATGTAGTATTAGTATGTTTAGTTTTAGATTTAACTATCACTTTAATCCAGGTTTCATATCTTTAAAAGACAGTTCTAAAAATGATTGATCATTCATTTTCTAATGTTCACTGTTTAACAAAATTAAACCTGAACAGTTTGATGATATTTCATTAAAATTGGTTAATATTGTTTGTAAAATGTATTTCAACAGTGATCCCAGAATTTGAGAGACCATGGAGGCCAGTGATCTGGGAATCGGAGTAAGCCGACCATTTTGCATCATATACATGCTCGTACTGTACTATTCTTTAATACGTTACAGTACACTGCACAGTATCACACAATACAAAACGACTTGAGGAAATTATAAAAATATAATATCCTATATGCTTACAGATTGGACACACACATGCTATGATATGTGATGTGATTGGCTGTGCGTATTATACTATTTTGCATTATAATGAAATCAGTCAGTGTAATGGTAGCCAGTTTAGAAGCAGCTGAACTAGCTGAACAAGGTTGCTATGTAGCTCCACCAAGTTAAAGTTCATTGTAATTTTCTTAGGTTAGATTTGATTTTAACATATTTTAAGTCGCAGTGCTTCTACTAGACATATACAAGTGAGCTACCTTTTCAGTCAAACTATTTCTAAAACTTGTTTCTACAGGAAGAGGAAGGAGCTGATCGACAGTATTAAGATCTACAAACCCACAGTCAGCTCTGTGTCCCAGGTTCGGGTTTTGCTCATTGGAGCAGTTGGAGCTGGAAAGTCCAGCTTCTTCAATTCTATCAACTCTGTATTCAGAGGCCACGTCACCAGCCAGGCCATCGCTGGCTGCTCTACCACCAGCCTCACCACACAGGTTAGTTTCTGCCTTTAATGATTTTACATATGTGGTGATTGATTTGCCCTGTCTGCAGTTTGTGACTTGTTGCTCCATCACTTTGTACCCAACAGTTTCGCAGCTACTCTTTGAAAGCTGGCCGTGAAGGAAAACCTCTGCCAATCGTCTTGTGCGATACCATGGGATTGGAGGAAAGCACAGGGGTGGGGCTTGATATAGATGACATCAGCAGCATCCTTAAAGGTCATCTGCCAGACCGTTACCAGGTATAGTTTTTTGTTACATCAAGCAGGACATTGAATGCATGAGCCATTGATTTGGCTGATAACTCAAACTGCCTCTGTCTTTCCTTACAACTGTGTGACACAGTTCAATCCCTCTGCTCCTCTGCATTTCGAGGCCCTCGGCTATCATAAGTCTCCAGGGCTCAAGGATAGGATCCACTGTGTGGCTTATGTCATTGATGCCTGTAAGATCTCCATCATGCCAACAAAGCTGGAGGAAAAGCTGGATGCTATCCGCAGAAAGGTCAACTTAATGGGTCAGTAAAAATGAGTTCCATTTATCATTTTAGTGGTGTTGCTGCATCTTATTTGAGCGTTGGACTCACTTTTTATGTAGAACAAACTAGAACGTTCTCCTATAAGCAGACACAAACCCCCAAAATCTAAGGTTACAGGAATGTATGCAGTACTATTTACATAGGATACCTGTGTTGTTTGATATTCATTCATCATTAAAACATATAAGGACTGCTAACACACTACTGCAGATCCTACTAATCCCTATAACATACTGTATGACAGATGACTGATCACATATATCACTCTGTTTTCCAATGATTCCTTCATTTTTTAAAACAATAGAAAGCTAAAAGTAGATTTACTGTGCTGCAAACTACAGCTGAAACACTGGATTTTCTTTGTTGTTGTTGGTCCACAGGGATTCCCCAGCTGGTCCTGATGACTAAGGTAGATGAAGCCTGTCCTTTTGTTGCACAGGACATCAGGAACATTTATAGGAGCAGCTACATCAAGGAAATGGTGAGATCAAATTAAAGTGTTAGATTTTACTCTGATTTAAATAAGTTTTGGCCTTCAGCTACGATCAGCTACGATGTAACATGAATCTGTCCGAATTTCATTTGATTTAGTTTATGTGCCTTATTGAGTTCACTAGTTGAATTTCACCTGCTACAACTGTATGTTTTCTTCTCCTGTGTTCTTTAGCGAACAGCATTTTGATAATCAAGCACAACTTAAACAGTCATGACTCAGTTACAGACTTCCAGTTGGATTGTCATGGGTTGTTATCACCTACATAAATACAACCATTTAACACAATCAACTTTACTGCTGTGGTAAAGACCATGTTATTTTACTTAAGTTAATGCGATTCTGTGTTGCATTTCCTCTTTTTTGTGTAGTCAGTAACAGCATATACTACAATCACCTGAATATTTTGTGCTCTGTGCTTTGTGATCCAGATGCAGGAGGTCAGTGCTCGGCTCGGTGTACCATTGTCCTGTGTTGTTCCTGTGAAGAACTACAGTGAAGAGTTGGAGTTGGACATGAACTGTGATATCCTGCTGCTCAGCGCCGTCATCCAAATGCTTCGCTTCGCTGATAATTACTTCGATGAGATCAGTGACCAGTTCAGCAAAGTTGAAATCAAAGAATAGGAAGAATTAACAGCTGATGTACACAATGTATCTTTAGTTCAACTTCACTGTAGTAGTGTACTGTTGTACTGCAGCATAAACTATGTCTACATTAGCTACTGTTAGCATGTTCTATATTTGTAACTAATACTCAACAGCTAAATCCAGGTACAAACAGCTTGTATATAATATTGGACTTTACTTACATATAGCTACCAGTCATGATGTCTTTGTGGCTGTGTTGACATTTCTGTAGTCATGTTTACCAAGTGAAAGACAGTGTAGTAATCAAAAATTCATGATATCTTAAGCTCAGGATTTCAAGTACAAAACTGGTGTGAACAATTTTTTCCACCTCCAAGCACTCCCAGGTATGTATCGGGGTTGTCAAGCACCTCCAGTGATCGAGTGCGTCATTCTAGGAAAGCTAGAGAATTAAAAAAAAAAAGAAAAAAACTTTCTATTTCTTGCTCTTAATAAGCATTTTCTTCTTCCTAACTGGTATACCAGAGATCACCAGAGCACAAGAGAAGAAGAGCCCATACAAGCCTGTAATGGTGAGCTGGAGTCTTAAACCTGGAATCAGATGAGAATTAAATCACTGCCTTTGTGAAACTGCCTCCGTTTTTTGGCCTTCCACGTTACTCCATGATTATAGAAACTTTATACAGATGATTGTGAATATGATTTAATTGAAACTGAGAAATAACATTGTTATGTTGCATGTTATGTCCATTTAGTTTGAATCTGAATTCTCCTTTTTAAATTCTTCATTATTCCTAAAATGATGAATTCCTTTCAGAATTCTGCTGTTCAATAAAATCTCAAAGTGCATGAATGAACAGAAAAACTGAAATTTATTAATGCAGGTCAGACAGTTACTGTACAGCAAACAGTGTTGAAGTCTTGCCAGCTGAGGAACAGTCCCTCACTTTGTAACAGGACTGTGGTATTACAGCAAACTACACACATCACACCTCTAATCCGACTCACTGCCTGCCCATCACTGAAACGACTGTGAATTAGAGTGAATTATTAATTGGCAGCTGTCCTCTCAGCAACAATAATCATCAGTTAAAAAATAATTATGCTCTGTGCTCAGGATAACTTTTAAACAAACAAACACACGTCTTGAAATAGTGTTTAAAATATCAATGTTGGGTTAGTGCACATAAAAAGACGGAAAACTCCCTTCAACTTGGCCACAGTTTACATGACACTGGTTGTACGACACTGTAACTGTCACAGGGAATGAAGGAATGTCCTGGAAATGCAAAACACACCTGGAATTCAATGATATTAAGCCAGTCAGCTTCCTTTTTTTTTTTTCTCCCTTTCCATAATATTGGTGCATTTCCTCCAGCTGCTCAGTGGCCACCAGCGGGAGGATGGTGGTTGTACTGGGAAGCTCCTGGTGGAAATGTGTAAAACAGGGCACTGCTAAAAATGATATGCAGCAAGTTGTTCTGTAAGACCAGACGACATGGTTGATGGTGGAGCTGGTTCAGGTAACTGGGAGCACAGAGGAAAACCACCGGGGACGGAGCAGTAGGGAGAATCTTATGGCACAGCTGACGCTCTCCGACATATCAAACAGTCAGACGGCTTTCCTCTCATCAGTCATTTAACAAAAAAAAGGCAGCCACGTGAAGAAGAAACCATTTCAACTTAAACCACTTGAGTTACAGTGGAGAACACACATGTACATACATACATCCAAAAACGCACACGCACACGCACGCTCTCCCACACTAACAAGTACACATGGGCTTAGTCAGAGTCCAAAGGCTGATTTCAGTGACAGGAGGAGTGGAGAATAAAGCAGGACTGTTGGCACGGCTAAAACAGCGCTAGCATGCATTCATGTTAAAGCAAAACACAGACTTTTTGGCTAATTGCTGTTTGTCAACTTACTACAGACGAGAAAATCATCCCTCTGTCCTTAGATATTAGCAACTATCAATGTCCTAAATATGAACTCTTTTTCTCCCCATTTCTTTTAAATCAATCAAGCTAATGTGTTCAAGTTTATCTTTTTATCTTTTTTAAATGAGGCACCATCTGCTGGTTATGTTACTTTCACCTTCCCTTGCTGCAGATAAAGTAGTCCCATGAAACTATACGTAAGATGTTAATTTGCCATGCATGTTAATTTTAATTATTTCCTACAGAAAACTCAGATTTCCTCCTGTTTAGCTTTAAAGCTCCAACAATTCTCATTTTCAAGATGCTGTCAGTTGGCTGTAGTCATTCAGTTTATAATTTACACTGAAGTGACAGCACTGAGCGGCACTGCCATGGACACAGGGACGATTTTGGCACCCACAGTTATGTTCTCATTCTTTTAAAGACCAAATTGACAACAGTAACAAAAAAGTAATTTTTTTTAAAATGACAAAGGGAAAAGAAAGTGTTGGCACAGCTGTGCAAACAGCTTAAGACTGTTGGTCAATGATGGTGGAGTATTGCAATGTAGTCTTGCTTAATCATGTTATGCTAGGTGTTTATTTAGAGATGAATTGTGCTATATAACAGATACTTCAGAGCCTACACTGTATTATAAAGGTAAAATAGCTAATTCAGTGTGCCGACTCTGTTATCTACCGTGAACTTTGATGACATGTATGAAGTGGTCAAAACCAATAATTTCTGTGCATAGCGTTAAATGATGCAGACAGATCAACTCAGTTCTTCCATGTTTACTGTCACTGTTATCTGGCTCTGTGGAAGCCGTTTGTCACTCTGCAATTTAAAACTAAATTAACAGAGACAGGGAGAGACTTAAAAAAAAAGAAAAAAAAAGAAACCTTAATATAAAAGGTCAATCGGCATCTGTATGTTAAACTATTTGAGACTTTACATTATCACCACTACATCACGTTCTGTTATACCAATTCCAACGGAATCATTAAAAGTATAAAAACGACAAAACAGATGCTGAATGTGAAGAGCGCCTTTCTGCTGTTATCCTTTCAGCTAATCAGACTTTTCAAAAAATGATGGTTGCATGTTAGACATGTGTGAACAGTGAGATGCAAAAAGCCATTTAAATACTTACAGGCATGAACTGGAACTGGAAAAAAAAAATTGAATCTGTGATATTTCGAATAAAAATCACTGCACGTTGTCACTTTGGCTCTTCAGCGTTTGGACTCGACCACATCGATCACACACTGTGCTTACGTCAACATCTAGAGAGATGACATTCAAATTCCAAACAGTAGAAAAAAAATTTAACAAAGAACTTTTCCTTATGTTTTTCTTTTTCTTCTCTTAAAGAACTGTACAAGATTATTTTAAAAAATCAATAATTAGTTATACATATTTATATGACAACATTGTTTGTGTTATATTACTGTAAAGAAATACAACCTTTGTGTTGTTCTTGTTTTAGACTGGATGCAGTATTCCTTTTTCAGAGTGCTGTGGCTTTGCTGCACTGAAGATGGTTCATGTAGATTTTTCTATTTTTAAGCAGCAAACTTTTATATATATATATATGATGTAGCTTTATCACTATCATTGAAAATATTGTCCAAATTGTGAGACTTAATGTAGGTTTTATTCTCACTCTCTACCTAAAAACTAATAAAAAATAATAATCACTCAGATAAAATGATTATACAGTAGCAATGTATGTCCACAAGGTGGAGCTAAATTATTGAGCTATGAGGGACGCCATCTTTTAGATTTATTCAGCTTTCTTATAATGAGCTGAGAGAATCAACTCAACTCAACTGTGTCAGCGACGACCCTTTAAATCAACGTCAAGCCTCACTGATGATTCATGCTCACCTCTATCATCACCTGTGAAGCAGAGAAGGTCAACAGACACTTTTTAGTTCACTCAAACGTAAACATAAAGAGAAAAACAGGTGACTGGTCCAGTCCACCACCTGTTTCTTCCCTCATCTTTTCAGCTACTTGCAGTCAAAGAAGCTGCTGAGCTCCGCTTTGCCACCGTTCGGAAAAGGAATACTGCATTTCTCTGCTGCTTGTTTCTTCAACTTTTGTTCCTTAGCTCTAGTGTGCATCCTGCAGGGGAAAGAGGGGCGGGGTTGGGATTGGGTGGGAAGGGTTGGTCGTCTAGGGGGGACCTTCCTTTGGAGAGGACGGAGTCTGGGATGTGGAGCTGGAGGACGAGGAGGCAGAGCTCTTCAGGGAGCCCAGAGTCTTGCTGAACCAAGAGTTCTTGGCCGCCTGGATCTCGTTCATCAGGACTCCCCGCTGGTGCTCGAGCTCCTGCAGAGCGACAAGAGGAACAGAGAGGAGTCAACAGGAGGAGCATGGAGGTGGAAAGCACTTTGGACCAAATGTGGCCAGGTTACATTCTCTTTTCTAAGTTCATCAAACACACTGCCCCGTGTCATGTGGCTGTGTGTTTTAGCACCATACAGTTACTTAACACATCTCTAGTCATACATGAGCACATACATGGTTGCATACACTTTTCTTATGGGTTGTGTTCAGGTGCTTTTGTGTTATGTTTTTATGGTTATTTTATTGGTACTTCTAGTTTTTAGTGAAATGTCCTTGTTCCTACTTAAATACTTAACTAAGATAGAGTAAAAGCCTAAAAAAGTACTGAAGGTTCAGTAAACTCAGTGATGTTAATACAAAATTCCATTATCTTGTTATTTCTTAGATGGTTCTCACAGCTTTAGTTAATATATATTCATTTCCTTAACAATACTCTCCCTTGGTATATTGCCCTGCACCTCCACAGAAGTTATTATTACTGTTACTGATGTTATTGATATCGCGCTGCTGACCTGGATGCGACACTTGGCCTCCACCAGCTGAAGTTTAGTCTGGGCCAGCTCCAGCTCCAGTTGCCTCAGCTGCTCCTTCAGCCCGTCCTTCTCCTCATCCAGCGGCTCGGTGGATGCCTTGTCCCTGCCCGGGGATGACGCCTGAAGGGTCCCCAGGGTGCTGAACAGGTCCCTACAGTGCTCACAGCCCATTACTTTACTCTGCATGGGAACACAAACACACGTATATCAGCAGAGATTGGTGGGTAAACATACTGTATAGATATATGGCAGGTTCTAGCACACACATCTCTATGCTACAAATGAAAGCTGCGCTGAAGCAAGGGGAGCACATCTGGCAGAACACATTAACTGCATGTGTTTCTCTTACAGGCAATAAAAGATCAATAACAAATGCTTGATTGATTTATGCAGTGCTTCATCCGTGAGAGAGCACTGTGCCCTGATGACGACCTTATAGTCAAAACACTGAACCGATTTTTGCATCAGGATTAAGAGTGTGTGAGCCATCCATTCTTTTGATTTTGTCTTTTGCCTGGTGGCCAGGACTTCACAAGTAGACACATCAAAAACAGAATCTTTTTTCCTGATTATTCCTGCATTATATTCGTTGCTAAAGGAGAAGTTTAATTTTTACAGCTCTCCTATTTCATCATACTAAATGCACAGCTCCACCTGCCATCCAACAATCTTTATTTAGAAAAATCCTCTTAGTTCCTCTATCTTAATAATGATTTATTATAGCAATATAATGACTGTAAATCTAAAATAAGTGCTCATGACATGTTAGCATTAGCAGGGTCCTGTGATAAACCAGGCATCAGTGACAGTAAGTGGAAGTGTTGCATTAACACTGACATATATACATCCTCCTGAATGGTCCCTTCCTGTGTTATGTCCCACAACAACATCCTGTTGAGTGCTATGTGCTGTCGCTACACATCATATTATGACGGAAATCAGAATGTCCTCATCTTTATCCA